CTTGCAAGCCTGGCTCGATTGAAGGGTGGTTCGCGCAATCCCAGATCTGTTGCCTTCTCTGTGCTGCAGAGGTGGAGGGCCAAAGGCCTGCCACATCTTAATCCTGGCTGATGTCGCAATCGCAGCTCGCGAGATCAAAAAGGATTCGTCTTGCATGCACTTAAGCTTGGCAGCTAGGAGGCTCTTCAGCCTCCTCTCGGAGGTTAGAACCCATATACCTCCTGCACGGGCTCAGGTCGTGCCAAATGTACATAGTTTTTTCTGCCAGGGAAGCCTCCTCCAGGCCCAACCTCCTGCACCTACACATGTTTTTTTCTGCAAGGGTCTATATTTGTATTTGTATATATATATATATGTGTATAGATATACACACATGCACTATATGTATAACGATAGATATTAATATCATAGACCTTAGAATAAGGTTTGTTAAAACACCTTCAGTAAGGTATATGTGTAGATTCCTTAATTAACGCTTTCGACCCTATTTTAAGGTCTCGTAAAATCCTTTAAATTAAACAGAGTCTATTGGAAGCTTTGGGTACGTGGCCTTGCGTTGACAACCAGCTCACAGCCCTCGAAGTTTCAGGCCTGTTCTCCTCGCTGCCCATCTCCACACCTCGCAGCTAACCGAGCTCCGCATAAACTCCAGCTCCGCCGACTGGAGCAATCCCAAGCCGTCGCCGGCCGACATGCAGACCGTTATGTCAGCGTGGCCTTCCTGGCCAACAGAACAGGACCTGCCCAAACGGGTCTTTGCCCACCTGGCCCAAAGCATCCCCTGACGGAGCAGGACCAATCCGATTATGCATTGGGACTATGATCTGATGTCCCCAATAGCAGGGTCAGCCTTTCCGCCTTAATCTCATGCAAGCCTTTGCCGACCTCCTGAAGCGCAGGCTTCGACGAGGCCAAGCGCCTTTGGCCCAAAGGCATTGCTGTAGGCAAGCTCAGCCTTGTCAAAGCCGACAACCGAGACCCTCGCCTTGTTCTAGACAGCACAATCTGCCAGGTCAATCCACTTTGCCGGATACCTGAAGCCGTATCCATGCCTGCTGTGCGAGCAGCCTTTATGCCATCCGACCCAGCCAGTATTGACTTCAAGGCAGCGCACAAGCCGGTCAAGGTACACAGATCCGAGCAAGGCCTTCTGCTTTTTATGTTTGAGAAGATTTTGTACAGGTACGTCGTCTGTCACTTCGGCACAAAATTTTCAGCCTATTGGTGGCAGCGCGTTGGTGGCCTTATTACACGCATTGCCCACCATGCCTTAGCCTTTGCCCCGCGCAAAGCCTGGCTGTATGTTGACGGCCTTCTCACTTCCTCCTCATAGCCACCCTGGCTGGCCTTGCGGCGTCAATCAGCTGGAAAAAGGCCTCGGTCGGCGACAGCCTCATTTGGTGCGGCTGGCACTTCAAATTCCGCGATCAGATTCGCAGCCTGATTGCCAAAAAGAAGGTGCCCAGGAAAGACCTTGAAGCCTATATGCACATCAGCCGCGTTCTGAGGCCCCACGTCGCGCCCTTGTACATTGTCCTTATTATAACAGCCCCCCAGGCTCCAACGTGTCCATAGCGCTTCGCATGTGGCCAGCCTCCCTTCACAGCCTGGATTCCAGAGCCGTCGTGAGCAGACTCGTCATGCGAGTCAATTTGCCTATAAGCCGCGTTATCGAGATCGGCAACAAAGCTGTTTGTTGCAACAAGGCCGACCTCCCGCCTGAGCCAAAGTCAAAGCCTACCTGGATTCGCCTATCGGGCCCGATGTTCCCGGAAATCCGGCTCACCAACGCGGCCCAAGACAGCCTCCGTTGGCTGTTCCCCAGGATAGAATCCATCCCCGCAACCAGCCTCTCCCTCCGCCTTTAATGCCATGCCTGGCTCGAGCGGATGCCATGGCAGAGGGGTCGACGGTGGGATTGGGGGTTGGATCACCGCCAAGCACAGTATGGCCTGGTTCGCCGAAAGCTGGTCCATGGAAGAGATACGGCAGACATGGCCTTTCCAACCCAAGGACGGACAGAAGTACATCGCCTGCTTTGAAGCCCTTGCTCAGCTTGCCTTGGCCATGGCGGCCAGAGAACGTCACGCCTTCTCGCACTTCGCGGTCTGCCTTCCAGCCCAGAGTGACAACACGCCTTCTAAAGCAGGCATCAACAAACTTTTTACCACTGGTTGGCCGCTTTCGCAGTTTCTGCAGCTGATAGCCTCATGGCCCTCCAGCCACGGAATTGAACTCCAGGTCTCGCACGTGGCGGGAGCCCGCAACCAATGGGCCGACGATCTGAGCAGAGGCCGCCTTCAAGCAGAAACAGGAGCGAGTACGCATCTCACTCTCCCGCCTCGCCGATGCAGCCTCGGAAGCCACTTGGTCCAGTGCCGATGGGACCTCCAAGTCGCCCCTCCTGCCCAGCGCCGCCTGCCTTTCCGTCAGACAGCCATCGCAAAAGCGTAAAAAGGAGATTGCCTCCAAGCGTGCAGCCTTCTGAGCAGCAGGTCCAATCCACCGCCCGCGGCAGGGGAGATCCTTTGCTGCGCATTACTACCGGTTGGATCTGTCCCTGAAGGGGGGTTTTACTTGCCCATGTAGCTGCCTTAAGCGGCATGGGCCCCCGGTCTAGCCGCATTGATTTACAGATCCAACACGGTATAAAGAGAACTGAATTGCTAGAGCAGTGCGAGCCTACCTTAAACGTTTCCTGTTTTTGTTCAGGTATGTTTTAGGTGGCAGACCTGAACGTGCAGGGCAGCAGACTGGCTAAGTGCAGATAGTAGCTAGGCTAAACGGCTGAGGCCTGAGGCAGGCCCAAGTGTTGACTTGTGCAACTTTAGGCTAGAGCTGAGGTCGGCTTTGCGACGACGAGCTGGGGCGCCCAGAGGTGCTGATGACGGGGTCGAGGCAAGACCTGAAAGGCAGCAGGATCTTCCAGTGACGCAGGTGCCTGCGTGAACACTGTTTTTAGGCCAAAGTCGGCTGTGGGCATGCAGTCGACTTTGCGGCTCGGCTGAAAGGTAGTCGAAGCCGTACCTGGTGTGGGCGGGCGGGCTTTTCCAGAGATCTGCAGTGCTAGAGCCAGGCTGCGTGGATACCGAGGCTTCACCATGTGCAGAGATTCACGCAACATCAGCGACGTCCTCGTCAGCCATAGGTGCCGGAGACCCCTTGGCTTCCCCGTCCCGAACCCGCCACGCCCAGGTGCTCGTCTTCGCCGTCGTCACCGCAGTGATTCGGGGTCTCGGGAGCTTGCAGAGTTTCACGCCGACCTTGGAACTGCCTCAGTTCACAACAGATTCGCGTTCACACGCCTTACCGCTTCCTGGCCTTGCCAATTAGTACTCCGCAGTAGTAAACCTCGGAGTTCATAGCCTCAATTAAATCAAGCATACTTGGTTCACTCAACTTCTCAGAAAGTCTACTCCGGGGAGGTTTTTACTTGCCCATGCAGCTGCCTTAAGCGGCATGGGCGTCTAGCCGCCTTGATTTACAGATCCAACACGGTATAAAAGAGAACTGAAGTGCTAGAGCAGTGCGAGCCTACCTTAAACAACGAAGGCTTACCCTGGCCACTATTCAGAATGTCTTCCGCAAGCTTTCCCCGGCGGATGTCCACGTGGGGCATCCAGCCTAGAGAAAAACAATATTCTCGCGGGTCTACCTTCTCGTACGCAGGCTATGCCCCTGGCGCAGCGCCTTGAACTGCAGCGGCTGCTTCGTGTCTCGGGTCCTTCGTTAACAGTGACACTTGCAAGCAAAATTTGCCCTAGGTCCGCTCTTCCGATCTGATTCCATGGAAAACAAGGCGCCCAAGGGGCTGCTCAGTTAGCCGAACGAACATACATCCTCGTGAGGCTTGCTCGGTGCGGAAGTGTAAGCACAAAAACAACATCTGCGGGATTTCCGGGCGTCATCTTCTGGCCGCAGCAGGTCTGGTTCGCTTGCTGTTCATTTTCTGCTCTTGCGAACTTCTGCAGGCGGTTTGGGAAAGACGAAGGGGTTCCTCGCGTGTTGTTCTGTTGTGCGGTGATTCAGTTGAGCGGTTCCGTGAGTTCCGTTCGGGAGCGAGCAGGTGTGGTTGGTTAGTTTGTACGTCAGTCAATGAGTGGGCGAGTTCGTTAGTTGGTTACTTAGTAAATTAGTTGGGTTGTTGGTTAGTTAGTTAGTCAGTTCAGTTATCTTTTTTAGTAAATGAGTTGTTTGTGGTTAGTTACGGTTAGTTCGTTAGAGTGTTAGTCAGTCAGTTAGTTAGTCAATCAGTCAGTTAGTTAGTTAGTAAGTTAGTTCGTTAGTTCATGCTTACCAAAAGAAGCAAAGCCTGTACGTGAGCCGTGAGCCAGATGTTGTTTGACTAATTGTTTTTCTCTCCGTTTTTGTAACCGAGCTGTTTGATTTACTTGCATGCTGTATTTTGCACAGTTTTTTTGGTCATTCCTTTGCTTGGCTGCGCTGTGCTCTGCTGTGCGCTACAGCATGGCGAGACCACAATTGCTGCATCACGAGGGCCCAACAAATAGATTGCGTGATTTACAAACATCCATTCGTTGAAATGAGCATAGCTCGACTTAAGCAGGTTGACGTCACAATATGCTTTTTCCAATGCACATTCTCTTCCGTGCCGACAAGTTCATACCAACTTATCAAAGTGCATCCTGCCGTCCGAGTGAGCTCCGCAGTGGGCCGAGATGCACGCAGATTTCGAGCCTCACGCATGTGGAAATTTCAGCATTTGATGGGCATGCATCCGGCGTAACGTGTATTGTAACGTGTTGCAACGTTCGATGGCATGCTCATCGCCACACTGTCTGGGTTCTTGGCGCTGCTATTGCCGGGAGTCCAAACCTCGGCTGCTCCACTGAATGCCCAAGGCCACGACGCCTTGACGTTGTAGGGCCCGCCGATGCTCGTTAGCATTCCCGCAAGGCCTTCATCCGACAAAGTGGAGGGTGTTGCTTGAAGGGCCCAGCTGAGAGATGCTCAGTCACTCACTTCGGCAGTACATTTGAATGGATCGGTTTTTCTTGGTCTTTGCAGGCGGTGGTGTTTCCAAGCCGACGCACGGAAACCAGATTCCCAAGCTGAGCCTCGTCGGTCCGACAAAGCGATGGTGTGTCAAAGGTGCGTGTGAATTTCGTTCGTTGGACATTCAATCTCATTGATGAACCTTCCATCATCGAAGGTTGCTTTTATGTGAAAGTAAAGATCGTTTTTCCTGAAAGCAATTGGCGAGTTTGTCCCAACATTGTCAAGTGCAAATAGTATTGCGGACTTCAGGAAGCCGCATGCATTTACATCAGCCATTGTGTGGAGTTGTCTGTGGTTCACCATGTGGAGGCAATGTGTTTAGATCTCAGTATTTTTTGTTCATGCTTGCATGAGACAGACAAATGCGCCGTCCCAGCAGCGGCTTGTGCGTTGTGGTGTCCGGCCTCCCTCATTCTAAGGATATGGTCGTTCTGGCATACCGAGGCACTTGCCACTTTCCTGCATGACGATGGCATGTCCTTGAGCTTTCCGGCATTGCTTGGATTCACGTTTTTGGATTTCATGCCAACAATACAAACCTTCCTTGAAGGGCAGTGGAGCTTCTTGAAATGTGCACAGGTGCCAGACGTGGTGCGCTTGGCCCAAGCCACCTGGAGGCACTTCGCGACTCAGTTGCAAGCGACAGCTTAGCATGGCTTTTGGCAATCCGCTAGGCATCTGGACTTCCCAGCAATTTGTTTTAATGTCCTTGCATTACGAACAAAGCCGGGTATTGTGGCATCAGGTCAGCCATCAGATAGTTGGTTGCGATATCCGCCGGCCCCGCTGCTGCTTCACCACCGCCATTGCCAAGGCCACCGCCACCCCCACCACCGCCACCCCCACCACCGCCACCACCACCACCACCACCACCACCACCAGCGCCAGCGCCAGCGCCAGCACCAGCACCATGCTTCAGCTCATCTGTCACTCTGGTCTTTGTTTGTTTTTCTGTTCGAGTTGTTTGCTCAGGCTCCGGACTACCAGCTTCGATTGCTGAATGAGCGAAGTTTCAAGGACGTTTTACCCAGCCGCAAACATCCGTTGTAGCTTCGCATAGTCAGCTCCTTTGGATTCAAGCAGGTACAACGATTCAGCTGCAAGTAGCTAGGATGTGGCCGTTGCCACCGGCCACAGTCATAAGTTGGAGATGAGTCTCTAGGCCTCTAGGTTAGAATGCTACTCTGCGGCGAAATCGTGGGATCGCGCAGTTCCCATGCTGGGCATGCCAAGTGTGTGCAGGCATTAGTAGCCGATTTCACAGCATAAGTCTCGAGACATCCTTCGCTGAAGCACAGCTTGCCACCAACCAAAGCTTGAACTGCGATACATCCTGCAGGCCCAGCTGCCAGTCAGCGTTTGGGAGCAACTTGAGAATAGACTCACATCCAGTCACATCTAGAGCCTGCGACAGAGCATTCCAGGCACAAAGTTGGACGTTGCAAGACGTGTGCATGTGCCGCCGTCTAGCTTTCAAATGGATGCGAAAACGATACAGCTGTGAAATCAGCGCTGTCAGTAGGATTTGAGGCTTGCATCACTTGCATTCTGCGGGATTCTTGCAGTGACACTCTGATTCTGACTGCGGGAGTCACATATTTCGATTCATGCAACTACTACGTCATAATCAGGAGTACCTGCCTGCGGGAGAGCGTGACGTGAGTCCGGACTCCTTCTTCACACTCAGTGCCTTCACGGATTGGCTGAGTTTCTTGCGATGCCATTGGTATGCTTTTTTAAGAAGTCGCCTTTCACAGAGTCGTGATCTGTGCCCACAAAGTGGAAGTTCTAGCTTGCGGTTTTTTGGGAGCAACCTCCTAAGTAGTCAACAGTATTGAAGGTTCTCACTTGCTCTTAATGGTTGCAGCAATGCGAGTTGAGGATTGAGTCTGCTCGCCTCTTCCGGCGGCATTTGGATTGACTCGACGCTGTTGTTGAGACCTTGACTCGGATTATTCGCAGACAGACAAGCACCACTGCACTGTTGGATAGCGGCCTGATGTACAGCAGCCGGGTATCCCTTTCGAGACTCTTCGCATACATTCCTTATGACAGTGCGCAGGGTTGCTCGTTTGGAGGGTTTTGCAAACGCCTTGGTGATGGAATCTCTGCATGGAGACCTTTAGCCTCTGGAGGACGGATTACCAAATTCATCGAAGTCTATGGAAGCCTGAACGTTGGCTCAGGACTGCACCGGTGGAGTCACTCCTGAACCAAACTGCTCGTCTAAGTGGTCTTCACTTGGAGGTTGCCCAGAGAGTCTTGGAAACTTGCCGTGCTAATGTTGTGTCGCGTTAGCGTGTGCCATGCTCCAGCGCTGTAGCATACTTCGTCGCGGTCCGTTTTGTGCTAATCGGCTCAGTCCAGATGTTGCAGGCTGCTCTTTTTGAAAGCTACTTCCTTGCCGCAAGGCCTGAGGACGGACTTTACCATGTCCGCCGAATAAAAGCGTGTGCCGCTTGCAAGACCATCTTTCAAGTACGATCAACGCATAGAATTTCTGAGTCAGGCCTGTTGAGCAACGTAGTTCGAGTCGGAGCGACCGTGTTGCCCAATGCAGGAGGACATCGTGCAGAGGTGGCGAGACGAGATGTGGCGCATCGGCACAATGCCAGAGCTCCATGCCATGCACGAAGCATTGAACGTTTTGTATTTTTTCGGGCGGATATTACCATGGCAACCTTAACCCACCATGGGAATGGCGGGACGCAGGATAGGCAAGTCGTTTTGGTGCAGCGAACACTCCGCCAAGAGCTCGAAGCAGGGACCTCCAGCATTTTGTCGAGCAGAAGCCAGTGCATCTCGAAGTTGCAATGGCCAAGCAGTGTGCCGAGGAAAGACTACGACGTGCATCTGACTCAACTAAAGACTCGTGGCATCGAGCCGCTGAACGGACACATGTCTGAATGCGACTGGCGAGACCGATCCACTGTCCACGAAGTCGCCCACTGGGTCTTGCATCGGGCCGTGGCTGCTGTAAACTTCTTTGCTTCTAGGCGAGAAATTTGCAAAGCACGAGTTGTAGGTACCATCGTTTTCGTGCGCCAGTTCTGGGGCAAGCTGGTTGGAATCTTCAAGTATAGTGGTGCATGCAGTAGACATCAAGGTTGGATACACGAGTTTCTATCTTCACCCATGCGGCCAGCACTATTGGATGTGGTATTATCGTGTTTGCGTCGCGCAGCTTGGCACAACTGGAGTCCCCGAGTTGGGCAAGGCTGAGGCTGTCGAGGTAAAAAGCGCGCTCGACTCGAGGTTCAATTCGGTTGTGGTGAGCGCTGACGGGAGCGACATCACTCAGCTCGCTGCTCCGCTGGGCATCTCGGCTTAGGTTGTGCGTTGTGCTCTCTGGGAGTGTTTGAGGCTGTTCGCATCTGACAAGACCCCCACTCCCCTCACTTCTCACTTGACCTTGCATGGATACTGCTGTACTCGGTAGGAGATTCTGCAGCCCCTCCGTCGAAAAGCATGTTCTGTGCACGAACTCTCGCTCTGAGGGATCCATATGTCTGACTCCACCCGGACGCTGAACAGAATCGCAATTTCTTTCGGATGGGACACAGCGCAAATTGCACCTCAGTGGCATGGGCCCGTTAGGAGTTTACAGGAGCAGCTGTAATGCGGAGACGTGGCCGAGCAGAGACCTTGGGCAACTCGCACACGTCATTCATTCTCCGAACAAAGGAGACCTGAATAGCCATATGGCCATATGGCCGTCATCGCAGCTAACCACGGCATCGGCATTGCCTTCACCTCCCAGGTTCGTTTCCTCATTACCCGGAGCAGCGAGGACTTCCAGTTCGCGCCCATCCGCGGTATCAAACTCCGCCCCGTGGCAGCTTTGGGAAAGCGAACCTTTGAGGCTTTTTTGGTCTTTTCCCAGAGAACAATGACTACGTCATTTCATGCAGCCTGCTGAGCTGAAGACTGCTTGTTGAGCTGACATGCAGCGGATCGAACAGAACGAGTATCGCTTTTGCAAGTTTTTTTTTTGAGTTTTCTGCCACGCAATCAGTGTGCACGCAACGTTTGCTGTTTGTCGCTTGTGCTGTAGTTACCAGCTATCAGACGAGGTCACGTGTCGGGAAGAGTTGTTCGGAACTGTAAAACAGCACAGCAGGGTTGGGGAGCAGACGTCGCATGGTTCGAGGTCTCGCGGCCTTGGGGTGTGACCTGGGGAACTGTCCTTAACTCCGCCGTTGCTGTCGGGTTCGTGAAGCTGGATCTGCGCTGCTGCATGAGAGTTATGAGGTGTGTAGTCTCGTGCCGAATTGTACCGTCTCGTCTCGGCGACCCATAAACAAGACCAGCAACTCAATATCCTCAGAAGTGGCTCGTTTTCGGGCAGACCTGTGTCAAGACGGCTGGAAAGCTTGAGCAGGTCTGCACAGAAGCAGTTCAACGGCACGTTGCGCTTTCAGCATTGCCAAGCCAACACCCCTCCCGTGTCACGTTGTCTCTGGACCGAAGATTTGTTTGTGCGGTGTTCGGGGGGAGATGTCTGTTACTTTGCCTCTGCGGGGTGTGCCTGTGCTCAGCGACGGTTGTTGGCTTGTTTTCTTGATCCTTTGTCGATGCGAGACACCGACGCAGAGTCCATGGTACGTTCTGCATTGCAGACGGCACATGCTCGTGCAGGTTGGCAGATCATGCGACAACCGCACAACCGCGTGTCTCTAGCGATCGTCCGCCGTCTTCACATTCGGTGTTGTCACACGCATCCATGGTCCACGTCCTCCCATCGATAGGTTGCATCATTCAAGGAAAACAACCAGGAGCCTGTGGCTGTGTGTCACGAGCCTTAAAGACCCAATCCTGCAGAGGTTCCAAGGAGAGGAACTTGCTCACGGAGCTTTCTTACTGTGAGACGGGCAGCATCATCTGCCAGGTCCCTACGACAGTCGGCAAGGCATGGCAAGGCTTGTCGCCTGGTCGTTCCGTACCGTAGGCAGGTTTTCCGGTCGTAGTCCAAGACGAGTCCGTTTGTTCAGAGTCGTCGGTCGCTGCGGCCACGGGCAGAGCAGAGCCGCTCGTCTGAGGCAGGCTTCAAGCACTCGTTGGCGACCAGTTCTTCGAAGAGAGGGCGAGTCCCTCATTGGAGACTGCGGAGCTGTGATCTGAAAAGGTGTCAAGCTTTCATGCCTCTTGCCATGCGACATGGAGCTCTAGGTCAGGTGTCTCGCAGTCGAAGTCGGCTGCAAGTCAATTGAGTCGGTGTGGCGTTTCTCATACGTTCCATCTTTCAGTGTTGAAGCCTCCTCAAAGACCGAAGGCTAGACTTGATGGACTGGTTTCGCAGCTTTGATGCCGTCACAGCACACTTTTGCAGATTTTCTCGCCGTGCAGTTTGAAAATAGTCCCGGAGATGTGCTGGTTTGGTAGTTAGCTAGCTGGCTGATTCACAACATAATGAATTACCTTAATCGAATAAGTCCACCCCGCTACAAGTAGCAGAATGACGGGGAAACAAGGGCTTCGCTAGGGAGTCTGGGAGGGAGAGATCACTGGTCACTGTGGTTTGTCTTTCGGTTCAGAGTGTGTGTGCTTAGATCGTTTCGGATTCATAACAAGTCTTCATGCGTTTGTGGAATCTCCAGTCGAAAGCGCAGTGCACAAGGCTCGTGCGTTGTGCAGAAGGCTCAGATACACACAAGAACATTCAGAAACACGTCGGTTCACAGCGCTTCCAACTTGGCCCTAGGCCCTAGGTGAGATGGATGGACAATAGCCTGAATCGCCATTGTATGATTGCCCAAGCCTTATAGCCAAGAATAGCCAAGACACGGTAGCGGAATGCATCAAGCAAGTCAGGATGGAGTCTTCACGAGTGCTGCTTGTTGTTGTTGTTGCTGCGGCTGCTGCTGCAAAGGTAATGAGCTTCGGAAAGTCTTTTGTGCACTAGTGCGAACCGCCACTCCTTGTCCGATCTGCATTCACAGATCACCAGTACTTGGATGCCATGGCATTGCAGATGGCGTCAGAAGAAGAGGCAGCGAGGGCTGCTGAGAGCTTCACTTGCTGCCTTGGCTGTACTGGTCTTGTGCTTTGGCTATCTTCGTTATGACAGAGGTGCAGCGCGTCCGCAGGGTAGGTGCAAAGGATCTCAGCCTTCACCAAACCACGTTCCTGGGTTGATGTCGCATTTGCTTTCTGCTGATTCCTTTTTTTGCTCACTTTCGACAGGGTGGCCAGTGCTGGGCTCCACGTGGCTTGCGCCCCTCATTATTGTAGTTTCCTTTCGCTCGCATGTTCTCTTCTCTTGTGTTTGTGCGTCAATGCATCGAAGGGCTTGATGTATGAATGAAGGCATGTTAAGCATGGATTGCGACTGCCACTACCACTGCTGCTGCTGCTCTTGGTGGTGACACTTTGCTGTATCTGTTTTGTACTGTGCCTGTCAATGTGTGTGTGTGTGTGTGTGTGTGTGTGTGTGACAACCCTGTATCCAAGGGCCTTCTCCTCACGCTCTGCAGCCATTTCCTATTTACGATGTACATATAACTGAACTTGAGGGCAGATTACACAGCAGGGGCTTCAGTGCAGATTACACAGCAGGGGCACCAGGGGTGTGTGGCTTGGCCTGGTGCAACGAAGCTCCAGTCACACACCAGGATATGGTCGGGGGACGCCTTGACCACGTACCTGCACTTTGCTTGTGACGCAGTACATGGACTTACGCTGTGTATTGGTTATTCTTCGTATTCCGTATTGCTGCTGTTAACGGGTATGGCCCGGGGCTAAGCCGAGAACCCCAACCAGTCGTTCTCCTGCAGCTATGGTATCACTTCAGAAACAGTCAGTGCTTGAGTTCATGTCGTCTGGTATGTGCTGGTTTCTGGATGGCCTGGGGCTAAGCCGAGAACCCCGTCTAGCGCGTACACTTTCAAGCATTGCTCAGTGCCAGTGTCCACCTCTTCAGTCCTTGCCGTGTCCTTCGGTGCGTTGGGGTTCAGGCTGGCGTTGTGGTTTAGTTAGGCAGGTTGAGGTGTGAGCCACAGACTTTCTGCACTTCATCTTTGCAGTTGCTGTCCATGAAGCTACCTGTCCGAAGTCTCTGATGTGTGGTCGCTTGAGACCTGGACATCAGGTGGTCCGTCGCATACCGAAACCTTCCTTAGCATTCAGTGTGTAGTCCTCCGGGACGGTGGTGTATGCCTCGGTGCTGCACTCAGATCCTCCAAGTTCGGAGGCGCCAAATTCAGTGTCAGCGCTCAGACCAGTTCAATGGAGAGAACAGTGAAGCCACATGGCCTACCCGCCTCTCATGGCACCCACAAATTCGGCTTCATGCCTACCAACACGCGATTGCAGCTCAAGCGGCTTCAAGCACTCATACCCAAGGAATCAGGCAGGATGCGTTTTGACCGTAATGTTCTAGCGACTTTTCCCTGTAGTAGTTGTTGTTGTAGGCTGTGCATTGCTTGTTTGCATTCGCCATGCCTCCTCGTCCCCGTCCATCCTGTGCACCTGGACTCTGGCCGACCGCACCCTCTAGATCACGATCTCGGCGACGCCCGAGGTCTGCGTCTTCATCGTCCTCTACTTCTTCTTCCTCGTCAACGCCGGCGGCACCTACGACCCGGACTGCCGCACCTCAACGTTCCACGTTGACTGGCCGAATCGCTGCCCCGTTACAGCCTCCACGACCTATTGATATGGCAGCTCCGAGCACTCTCCCTGATCTTTCTCCTCTTCCTCCGAGCCCGTTTTGGCCTGGTTTACCTCCCGCTGGCTCCCCGCCGTCTTCCTCCAACAACGACCAGTCCGTGCCTGCTGCTTATGCCTCCGCCTCGCCGCCGGACCCGTCTTCTACCCCTACGGCATCTTCGACTTCGCCACCTACAGCATCTTCGACTTCACCAGCTCCTTTCAGCTCTGCTTGCACGCTGGCCACCTTACGCCAGTGTTTGGCCGCGGCAGGCCAGCTTGATGCCTACCTGCAATCCGATTACTCTACCCGACTGGGCTCCCTCAAGGCGGTACACTGGGATCGAGTATATACTGCATTGCTGCAATACAGGTCCTACTTCAAAGCGCTCCCTCATCGTCGACAATGTCAACAGGAGTTGCTCTTGGACGGACGCAAATTTGACGTGCCTTTTACTTTAGCCGATCCGTTTCTTACAGTGATGCATCTGCTGGTACATGCGGGATACCATCCTCACAGTGTTCAGTTCAAGTTCACACACGTCGAGGCTCCCCAACATCAACCAGACAAAGCTGGCCGACCCATGCTCATGGTGTCGCTCCCCTTCCCCGCAGCAGCTGTACGGGTTAGCGGGGCACCTGCAGTCGCCTATTTTGGCCATAACACGGACCTTCAGGCCGCCTTTGGCATCCTGAAAGAAGGATGCATTCGCCCCAGCAACTATGACCCCGTTGACACTTCTTGGCTGCCGAGTCCTGCCTTTTACTCTCGCGCTTCCGTCCACAGTCTCAGCGGAGCCCTACGGGCTGCAGCCAAGTTTGGGGGATGGGGTTCTCCCCGTCCGATTTGTGTATATGGCCGAATCCCTATTTGCTATCTCGACATAGCCAATGCTGCGCCTACCGACACACCGTCTTCAGTGCTTCCCAACACTCCCGCGGCCTATCACCTGAAGAGCGACAGCGGAGGCACCGTCCCCGAAAACGCGGCGAACTACTTCGTCTCCATCCTCCACGGCAACGACAACCGTTGGGGTGTGCACTCCACGCTCGCGCAACCAGAAGGCATCGCCGTGTTCATGTGAGAGGACCCACAAAAGGTGTGCGTGATTTGCGTTATGGCATGGCTGGTCTCTTTGTTGCTGCCGCCTTATTCTTCTTCATCCCGCAGCCGTTTTGCTGAACTAAGTGTGACCTTGCTAGCACATCATGGCCTCCTCCGCCTTCACTCCTGAGTATTTGCAGTTGTTCTTGGTGTTTTTCGAGTCGTTGTCCGACCACCAACTGCTCCAAGTACGTGATGTATTACTACGAGCCCATCAGAATCGATCGACGTTGACTCCTATGACACCGGTGGCTACGACAACTACTCCACCACCTCCGGATGCTCCCCCACCTGCCACGGCGCTGCTCACCTCCAGTGACCCAGGCCCTTATTCCTCTTCTGGACCTCCAGTACTTCCAGACAGCAGTGGTAGAACAGCGGCGATGCCTACGACTCCCATGGGACCACCAGTACTTCCAGACAACAGTGGTAGAGCAGCTGTGATGCCTGCAACTCCCATGGGACCACCACCGATTCCGTCTCATTTGGATCCTTCTCATTTGGATCCTTCCCAGCGCCAGACCCTACCACGGCTTCGCAGACGGGACCGCGACTATCCCCGAGATGAAGACCGTTCTCGCCCTGCAGACCGCGATCGGGATCGTCATCGCCGGCGACGTCGTTCAGTATCGTCACCTCCTGCTGACCCACTACCTGCCGGCCCTTCTTCTCCTCCGATGCCATCTACTTCGGGGTATTCTGATGCCAACCAGATCGGCCACACAGCTCCACCCCCCGCCGTCTCCAAGCATTCTGGACGCGCTCTTGCACCTAAGATCGATGCTGACGGTTCTGTCATTTACGTGCCGGTCAAAGCCCGACCACAAGTTCCACCTCCGCGGACCACAACGTCGACAACTGGCCGATCCCGCAGTCGGCGTCGCCGCCGCGATCGTGCTGACCGAGACCGTGACGATCGTGAGGATCCTGACCGCTCTCGAGGTGCGCGTGATGTCCCCCATCGCGATCGAGACCGCGATCGACACCGTCGGGATGTGAGCGGCGACCAGCAGCGGCCACCCTTGACTCTCTACTCCGTCGCTCGGGCCTGAACAAAACATGTGCCCCCGCGGCCTCTGCGCCTCCTTGTTTCTTGGTTGTTCCGCAGCCATTTCCTACATCATTCCACAGTCTTGCGCTTCCCTGACACCACACATGTCTTTCCGACGCTCTGCTTCCTTTTCATCTTCTGCCTCTTCTTCCTGCTCGACATTGTCGTCATCCACTTCGGCAACTGTTCGGGAGTACTTGGACGTATTAACTGATCCTTTCATTCTCTTCCGGGTGTTCTTACTATTCTTGGAACTTCGTCTACGCACAGCTCTCGTCCCTCCGGACTCGATGATGGACACTGCCTCTGCCCGTCCACCTGCTCCGGACTCCACTTTGAGGTGCCTCTTTCCTATTGCTGAACTACATGGCCAGGCCCTTGCGTTCCGGACGGAACGCGACTATCACCTTCACTATGCCCTCGCCGAGATCACATTTCATCCCCGTGCCGTTGCTTCTTTGATGGTGACCTGCTCGCGAACATATTACGCAGTACGAGCCCTTCTTCGTGATCGTGGACTTCAATACGCCTTCTACGTGGAACGCACCCCCGATCTTCCACGCTCACATTCTTCTCGACCGCGCTTGTCCATTTTCCATCCGTTTTGTCCACAACAAGTCCGTGGCATGGCGTTACACCGTGGACTTCAACATTGGGTCTTCATTCCCTCCAGCTACCAGGAGTTACCTCTGATCCGGCTCGGACGTTTCTCATGACGCGCACTCAGGATCTGGACAAAGAGGACTATTTGCTACCGCAGCAGTTCCTAAGCGAGCTCATTCCCCGCAGCCGTTTCTATTTTGGCTCCTTTCGCCTGCTTCCTCACGCCTCCTCCCATTCTTCCTCCTCCTGATGCCTCCACACCGTTCTCGCACTCCACCTTCCCGGCACCATCGTCTACATGGACGTGATGAACCTTCTCGACATGATCCCTATTCGTCCCAGCGGAACATGACGACGCAACCTCCCAGGTCCGGGTCCTTCCGGGACAATCGCGCATACAGCCGGACGTCTCCTCCGCGGTCCCGACGACATCGCAGCCGCACTCCGGTGTCCCACACGCCGGAACATCACCGCCACCGCAACCGTGGCCCTTCGATTGGACAACATCGACATCGAGATCCTGACGCTGATTCTCCCCCACGACGCCGACTACACTATTCTTCACCACGGCCATCGTCTCGACGACATCCTCTTCCTTCCGCCTCTGATCGACGGGCACCACACTCGGACAGCCGGGTGCACTTCACTCCTCCACCTCATGACGATCCATCCCACTATTCCTCCTCCGGTGCACCTCCAGCTCGACGTGAACCTCGCCGTGACCGTCGTGATCCTCCTTCCGCTCGGGATCATCGCCTACTTCAAGAACGCTACGAAGACATCTATTCGCTCGGCGCCAACTGGGAAACCACCGACCTCTTCCTTGATGCGAACCCAGACCGCGGTTTCCCTCTACCGCGCAATGTCGTAGACACTGCCTTTACCCGGCGTCTCGGCATCGCCGAAATGCCTATTCATCTCGTCCCTATTGTGTCGCTTACCCCAAATGCTGGACAAGCATGGATCGTCCGCCTGCTGGCGGCTGGCCGCCCTCTGGTGATTGAAATTTTCAGGACGCGGCAGGAAGCGCTTTTGGCGTCATTCATTATTCGGACGCTCCGCAAATCCTCGGACCAATACGACATCTCTGATGTCCTTAAACAACTACATGACAATCACACAGTCGCTACTGAAGGCCCACGCGACCTTACCGTATGGGCGTATCGCGCTCAGCTCTTGCAACACGTGGCAGACAAGGTTGCTGCGACGATTAATGATCTACTACCCCACGGAGAAGGTGCAGCTGGAGGACGACCTGGACTTCTGGAACAAATTCAACGGTTGCAGCAGGACAACGACCAGCTCAGGATGCTTGCCGCTGGCACGGGCGCCGAGACCCTACCTCATCCACTTGCAGAACCGAACCCTCCACCAGATGCCGCCACCAGACTCCGGGACTCCTTTTCCAAGTTCGAACGACTCGATCGCCGCGCTGTCCTTGCGTCCAACTCCCCCAAATCCGCTTCTACCACCGATGTGAAGAAATGGCTCGACGGTCTCATCAAGCTCCATCGCGAATCCTACACACCGAAGCTCACCGAGTTGCAGGGCATCTTGAAAGAGGCCACCGCGGGCGTCTTGCCACCCTTGGACAAAACCCTTGTAGATTGGGGACTGACCGTCAGTTTGGCTTCCAAGTTGTCTGAAGTTAACCAGCAAAAGCTCTTAGCGATGACGGCGGTCCTCTCCGCCTTCCAGCCAGCCGTGGTTCCTGCTACTGCTCCCAGCACATGAACGTGATCGTCCTCGCTGTCCTTCAGCTGGCACTTCGCATCAACTGCTACCATCGCGGGGGTGGCCGCAGTCGAACGGAAACAGTCTGCAGCGTTGCTTGCCTGCCTGGACGTTGAGTCATATGTTTACGATTTCCGCAGCCGTTTCCTTAAGGGTTTTGCTATTAATACCATGCCGCTCCAGCTTTCCACACTTCCTTGCGGATTTTTGCATCAGCTCCTGGACTACCACCAGAACTTGTTCGCGTACGCCGTGGCCGCGACCCACCCTCCTATTGATAGCAGTCCAGGCAATTCTATTCGGCAGACCACGCGACATCCCGATGACATCATGATCCGTGACCGTCTTGCGGAGCTCATTGACCGTCACAATAACCTCTTCTACGGGTTCTTCCGCGTTGGGGACAACTATTATCACGGCCTATTTGTTCTTACCTTCGACATCGGCGTCATTTCGGCACTTTCGGCTACCAACCGCCATCTGAATGATGCACTCGCCATCTACCTTCTCGCTCGCTCCATGACCACAGTCGCCCTCCTACCCGCGGATCGTTCTGAACCCCCTGATCTTCTTCGTCGGCGTCTTCCACTTGGGTCAGAGTTCTCCAGCATTGTGCGGTTCTCCTCTTTGACATACCGCCTGGGCATTCCCTCCTATTTGACTGAGTTCGATTGCACGGAGGTCCCCCGCAGTCGTCTATTCCGATTACGACTCCATGCCTTCGGCACCGCCTTGCAGAGCAGACATCTTCAGGACACCTCCTGGAGCGGATGATCGTGGGATATAAAGACTCCTCACTGTCCCTTTCATCACTGACTTCATTCCCTCTGAGTTATTTTCCGTGTTCTCTGCCCGCAGCCGTTTCAGCTAATTGGCTTACCCTTCATCCACTTGCTCGTCACACCATGGCGAACTTGGCACCGGAGGCACTGGTGGACCTTCCTACTACCTCTGAATACCGCGAATGGGTCGCAGCTGCTCGAGAATCTCGCAGAGATCGCACTACACCGACCTCCTCGACCAACTATGTCTCATTATCCTCTGGGGAGAACCCTACGATTCCCATCTTCACCGACGTCCCGGTCAATTTTTGGCTTTCTCCTTTCATTGTGATGAGAGGCTGGTTGGTTCCGTTCTCCTCGACCTCACCGCGACCGCACATCCACCAGATTATGCACGAGGTGATGACGGAGGCCTGTAACATGTACTATGAGGTCGTCCAGATCGCGGATAATTCTTACCATGGATTGTTCGAGATTATACTCGACTTGTATCTCACTACGCAGCTCCTCCGGGTTAACCGCAATATGAACTATGAAGTCATTCACTTCTTGCACGGGCGCAACATTACCCACTTCATTACTCGGGACGTTCATCAGCCTCGACCCGCTCAACTACTACCAGGTGAACCTACTCCCCGTATGCGCGGACCGTTTCTGCCTCCACGCATCCTACCCATTGGCACCACCTACGCTGACGTGGTCCGGTTTTCAGATGCGGTTCTGACATTGATGATCCCTCATGAAATTCACACCTGGGAGGCTCTTGAGTTGTTGCAAACACAGCTACGGTGTCTACGCGCCCGCTCCTACCTATTGCTTGGACAATGTCTTCATTACCACCGCCGCGTGTTCTTCACCGCAGCTTCCGCCAACGATGTGGATCCATGACGCCGTGCTCCGCATCCTGGTCCTCATACACTCTTTTTGACTGCCCGCACGAAAAAGATCCTACGCTCGATGCCCCATTCTTTTCATGTGCAATCCTTTCTCTGATTTATGGATCCCGCAGCCGTTTTCCCATTGGGTTATAACACGGCCGCGTCCCTTTTTCACGCCGACCTCTATGAAACGATCAGCCGCTGTCGCAGGACTACCTACTCCACCTAACCTAATACGTCTGCGTGTTCTGATTCCAGCCTGGTTCCTTTGCTGTGACCTACCCGATGACGGTGGACATGCAGAGTGGTTCGACTTTCATGTGTGGAGCGACATGCTCATTGATCATGTGAAACAACGACTCTCGCAACTGCTTCATCAACGCCATGGTCGGTACTTGCACCCATCACACTTTCAGTTACTCCAGGGCGACCGGCACCTCTCCTACATGAGGAGCACCACTGCGATTGCCACCGTCAAGGACGCTGAAATCCTCCGAGAAGAACCCGCTTGTGGCAGTCTACTTGAAGCCCGCCGAACGACCTGGCAACCGGCCATTGAACTACCTCCTGGTACCACACCGACTTGGAGACCTTGACGGCAAAACAGCTCGCTGCCGCCCTTTGTGATGTGTTTCTTGTTCTCCTTTCAATACATGCCGCAGCCGTTTCGATCATCATTATGAGTGTTCCCTTCCCCATTGCCTCGCTCGCACAAATCACCTCGTACCTGCAGTACATCGATGTGATCTTGGAGTTACACGACGATGCTGACGACTCCCCAGAATCGCATGACAACTTGCCTTTGTGGGTGACCAGGTCGTGCGCTCTGATTACCAACTCCATGCGAAGGGCCCGGCTTCAATGCGGCACACCGAGATTGATTCGACACGGATACCATGAAGCAGTCTTTCGCGTCTCCCTACAACATGTGAGTTTATTCATTTGTCAGACAACAGCAGCTGTTTGTTCGGAATGGTGCCACGTTCTACGTGATTGTCTCGATGCCACTGAACATTTGCAATTACACCTCACCCGCATCCCACAAGCTGCTCTACGACAAGGTGCTCCTTGCAAACTCTTCTACTGGGACGACGAGGAAGGCGTGGAAACATCTATTTCGATACTACGAGCTGCCCTACCAGTTCGTCGCGTACGTTTTCAGCCTCTTTCTTGATTCACTCCATACCGCCCTGCCTTCGGAAAACCGTCCGACCTTGCTATCCTTTGTTGCGCTTGCTTGCCCCTTCCCTTTGGTCCGCAGCCGTATATATTCGGGACGCTTCATGCCCCCTCCCCCACCTACGCCCATGGTCCATGAACGGCGTCGGTCTCGCACTCCACGTCGACACCATTCTGTACGTGCTGAATGCCCTCCTCATGCACGAGTACGAGGCAACAGACAGGCTCAGACCAGACAAGCTCGACTCATTGATTTTCTACATCAGGGCCCACTTCACCCACTGTATCGCCGTTTTGCCAATGGCCAGTCGGTGTACCCGCTTTCTTTCGATTCCACCGATGCTTTACTACTCGTCAACGAGGTCATTCGTCAATTGACAGAAGGTTCTTCATTGTCACCAGCACAATTTTCTGCACTACGAGATGATGACGTTGCCCACCACCTACGACATGAACTCTTCCCTTCTTCATCATCCTCTACCTCTTCAACATCCCGGCCAGTCATGGGTTTTAATCATCTGAGGAGATCACAGACATCTGACAGTCTACTACTCCGAGCAACCCCGACTTCATCTTTGCGGCGCTCTATGACCAGGACATCCACAACTCCGTCTACATCTTCAACCTTATGGATTCCACCACCCCCTCTCGATGCCATGTTCTCTCACCGTCCAGATCCCACACACAGGCCGTCTCCACCTCGGGTACATTATACCTGTCCTTCCTCATGTGACAGGTCCCAGCCACCTCGGACTCCCACATCTTCCTCTACAGGTCTAACTTCCTCGACCAGGACGTCCCTTACCACACCAACCGGCTGGGCTAAAGACTCGGACCTCAAGATTGACGGATTGACATCGGCACTACGACCAACTTTGCCTTCGATCTCCGACTCGCGCATCAATGAGTGGTTGGTCAGCAGATACGCACTGACACGCGTTCAGGTTGCTCACACCTTACAAACCTCCGCTCTCCGACTCCTCTTCTGCCTGGAGATCTTCAGCTTTGACCACCTTTTCGCAGAAGATTTGGGAGACGACGAGGACGACGTTCCACAATTATCTCCGCGAACCCCAGCACGTCACCGCCTACCACCTCATCTACACCGACTTCTTACATCCTTCCTAGACTTTTACATTGCGGCATTGCCGATTATACGACAAGTTCTTCCACATCATGTCTTTGGACGTCTCTCTTGGGTACGTGCTCTGTGGTTCCTACAACTTCATCGTCTACGGTTCGCCACTACTACCAACCATCGCGGTCTCCAGGATCTATTCTTCAATTTGGACGTACAGCCGTACACTCTGCGACATCATTTACAGTCCAGCGTCGTCTACATCAAAGTCTCCCACAAACACCCCGGATGGTACATCGGCTCCACCATCCACACGATCATTGACCGGGAAGTTAGCCGCCGCTCCAAATACAATCAACTTTGTTCTGGCACTCAAGCGTTCTTCGAGCCTGCCTTACGCATTTGGCACGCTGCCGGTACCTACGACCATCACCTACCTATTACTTTACAGCACCGACCTACTGAAGAACAAGTCCGCGCCTTGGAACAATCTCTAATTGCCACATATCATCCACACTTGAATGCCCCCTTCGTCTACACGTTCCTACGGAAACTGGGAGTACAGCTGGAAGCACCCATGGTCACCACCTTCTTGGAGGGTGGCAACGGTGCTCGTCTCCTACGTGCTCATCATCGCTACACACACTACCGGGATCTACCGGAACTCCTTGGCACTCGCTCCCTCATCGAACAACGGGAGACCCTGGCCACAATTATACAATATGTCGGCAGCAATGGCGTCCTCAAGTTTTTCTCACAACGAGTTCTACGTCGGAATGGCACTCCGATAGCCTACCTGTACTTACTCGTACGCTTCCTTGTCTTCGTGGATGAGCCACATCAAACACGTGCCCTACAAGCTTTACGCTTAGCCCTTCGCTACAAAGGAGGAGAGATCCCACCTCGTCATCGATTACTTCCTCTTCCTCAATTGGCTCATGACTTTTTACGACAAGCTCAACATTGGTTGGACAGCTACATACTTCATCACCGAGAATGGTTCCCACCTTACCATCTACCACGATACACCATCACCGAGAAGAAGGCCCCTACGCTTGGTCAAACCTTATTCAATCACCACGCATGGCTACGATTGTGGGACCCAGAGAAACCCTTCTTGTGCTGTTGTCGACAACTACCAGGACAACGCACACCCTCGGACCACGTCGCAGCCCCAGCCGATGTCGTTCTGAACGAATCCATCTTTCGGGAAAACATGAGCGACGGCCGATGGTTGACCAAATCCCAATTTCGCAGGTGTACAGTGGCCCCTTTGAACCGATGGTTCAAGTTGTGGCGACAACCCGACCAATCCTTACTTCGCTGGCAAGTCTTTGTTTCACACCAATGGCAACTCCACAGCCACACTCTACGGATGCGTCCTGACGGCAGACAGTTACGCGAACTCAAGAATTTACGGGAAAGCTCGGAGCACATCGTGATCTCCCCTATTGATCATGGACCGCACTTGGCTTATGCATTTTGTCCTCGACAATACTTCGACATCTTGACCAAGACTTTCTTGGATCCTGCAGTCTTCTGGCGACGAGACACCAACCCGATGCAGCTATCGGAACACATACAACGAGCTATAAAACGACATGTTCCCCCACGTTATCACTGGGCCCTGGCACCCAAAGCAGCTTTGCCGTATGCCTACGTGCTCCCCAAGCCCTCCAAACAATTCCTGAAGGGGCGCCCGATTGTCAGCTATTCCAACACGTGGTGTGCCACGCTCGCGAAATTTCTTTCTACCGCGGTCCTACAGATGCTACAGACTGTTGTTCCACCTCAGTTCGTGTCTCCTACCGTCCACTCCATCATCCAGACGTTCATCCATGCCTTCCGCAACAACCCGGTCACCGTGGAACTTCAGCTACTTCAACAAGATCTTTCTGGTTTCTTCACTTCGGTTCCACATGATCGCATTTACCACTCGATCTCGTCGTTGACAGACATGTTCGCTCGCCACCAACAGATTCCTTTGGACTCCGACATACAGATCACGATGCGGGACCGCAATTCACTTGGTCGCCTATTTCGAGGCCGATATCGAAAAGCCGGTTCACATTACAAACCTCTATGCCTTCGCGACTTACCTTCATTGGTTATGTTCTTGCTACGACACTCCTTTTTCACAGTTGGCACGGAGATTTTGGTACAACATCGCGGGGCCTCTATGGGCTCACCCATGGCCCCCTCAATGTGCGGAGCGACTGCAGCCCTGTGGGAAGCCACATTCCACCAACTCATCCGCGACCAGATGCTGACCTCTCGTTATTTCTGTTCTTCACGCTATGTGGACAATCGGTGCCTCCTTCGGATTTGGGACGGGGAGCTGGAATCCCTGGACGATCACCAACGGCACCACTCCCACCGAGGCCACGATCCTTTTTCGTCATCCTCTACGTCCCCGTATGGTTGGTTCCAAGAAGTATATTTACATCCACATTTCTATGGCCTTCCATTGGAATTGGAACATGTTCCGGGACAAGAACTACTGGGCACCGTCGTGGACACCGCACAACGTACCATTCGACTCGTCCTTCCACGGAACAGTATTTCATTGCGCTCCCCGTGCTCAGTCTCTTCGACACGCAGGAACACTCAGGGACTGACCACACGGATTTATCTCATTTGCCGATTATCCTGGCCCAAAGCCGTCATTGCTCCTCAAGTTCGTGAACTTGTTCATCTATATCGTGAACGAGGTTTCTCTGAACGCTCACTGGAAGACGCCTCCCGGTCCGTACTCCGTCGTTTTGGACTACGTTGGCGACAGGTCAGTGAACCCCCGGAAAACTTGCTCGCATGCGTGTATCGAACTGGCACCCTTCAGTCCGTTTGTTGATTTATTCGCAGGCATTTTAGGTCAAGTTACCACCAGAGCCCTTCATCATGGCCGGTTCTTCACCCGATTCCTATCTCTTGGACGACGTCACCTGGACACCAGACCCGGACATGGACTCAGACCTGGACGCCTCCTCCGCCCATGATGCTGGTCTACCTCCCGCCGGTTCAGATGTTGATGGGGACCACACACCTCATCCCACCCTTCCTCTTTCTCCCTCTCCTCTCCCCAGAATACCCGCCAGAAAACGCCGTCGACGACACCGCCACCACACTACCTCCTCTTCTTCCACATCATCCCGACCTTCCAAGGCCACGTCAACATCATCTTCGACATCTTCATCGTCTTCATCCTCTTCTTTGTGCCCCACTGCGGAGCTACGAACACGGGACCCACCTATTTCCTCGTCCCGTTCGAAGACACGCTCACGGAAGACACCTTCCGGGACCAGCACTACCACTCCAGCGACAGGAGCTACACCAGCCCAGACCAATTCTCCCTCAGCGACTTTACACGCTCCCCCTCGTGTCCGAATTCCTCCCCGAGGAAATGGTTATACATTACATCGAGTACGCCGCAGCAAGTCGGGCACTACACATTCCACCGTATCATTCCATGGAGATGCCGCAGAACGTCGCCGACAACAGTGGCTCCGACAATGGCGCCAATGCACTCCTGCCTCCCCGTACTATCAGGACGTGCAGAACTGCATCAGACATCGCGCCCGCATTATGTTGGACATCATAGCACATGAACGAGGAGGACCCACTGCGGCTTCGGACAATTCACGGATACGACGCCGCTATCACCTACCAGAAGACCAACTCATCCCTCTGGCACTCATCTACCGGGATTGCGCTGCTCGCCGACGACGGTCCGTCCGTGAAGTTCTGAGTACCTGATCCTACCGAGATCCTGCTCTGGAAAACATGCCCGATAACTCCGTTTCGTCGTCCCATACCCGCAGCCTTTTCACCGCAGCTTTTCTGTACAAACACAGTTGGCTTCCCTTCCTCACCAACGAATGGCTTCCTTCATTGACGTCCTCCCCTTGCTCCTCTCCTATTTCGAGATGCAGACTGTGATACAATTGGATCCCCGTCATTGCCAACGTCCACACACTGACGACCGCCACACCACTCGTTCCGCCTTCTCCATTTTGACCGCACATCACGGCGATTGTTCCTGGCACCAATATGGCGTTTGGCAACAGTTCCTCGCCGCCCTTCAAGATCACAAGATGAGCGCCCACAACTTCTTTGGCTTCCACCACGACAACACGGTGTTCACGATCTATCACTATCAGCCCTCGGTCATTGTATACTGCAATCAATTGTGTTGGCGGGCCCACGTCCACCTACGTTCCGCATCACGACTTTGCCTACGTGTCCGTATTCGAGACCCTACCCTAGCACAGTGGCGACCTACTTCGTCTGGACCCTGGATTACCACATGCTGGTGTTCAGCGCATTGCCTTTCCTTTTCCAAATGGACACCTACGATTTCTCGCCGCCATTCACCTCCCCCACCCATCGCCACGGACAATCCTTATTGGCAGCAAGAACAACAACGACATGGTCTTCTTCCTGCTCTGAGACGGTGAAGCTTTGGAAGACACAGACGGCGATTTTTGAGACAAAGACCTTCACTTGCACATCATGACCCTGGTCATTTTGCTCTACCGCAGCCCTTTCAGCAATATTTGGTTAGTCCTCCGCCTCTCCTTTCCTTCCTTTCGTCGCCCGTACACTCATGGCCCCGCACCTATCCGACATTCCCTTGGAATGGTGGCTTGATTACCTGGTGGAGCTCCGAGTATGGCAAGTTCGTCCGATGACCTCCCCCGATCTCCGGATCCCTAGCACCCTCCTTGACCCGCGCTTTGTGATATCGCAACACCGATTCACCACATCTCAGAACCGCTACTACCTCGACACCCTCCACGGACTTTGTCAACTCAATCCTTCTTTCCAGCGACTGGATTACTATGACCCGGACATTTGCGGTTACCAGTACAGCATGTTCACAACTGCACCATCTCCGAGTGCACTTCACGCACTACTTCTCGCCGACCGTCGACTACATTGCAACATGAGTCAACTGATACTGCGCCATCGCTGGCAACTTTGTCTTGGTTTACTTGCACCTAGAGTCTATGCTCGTCATGTTGATCGACGTCACTTTCAAAGACACGAATTGCCAACTCCTCTTCGAGAAGTTCTACATCGACTTGCCTTGCACCGCTGCCAGATCCTGCAAGTTCACCCGATGGCTCTACCTGCCCTACATGCTCACCGTCTTCGTCTGATTACTTCACCCCGCTACGGCGGGGTGTGTGTGTGACAACCCTGTATCCAAGGGCCTTCTCCTCACGCTCTGCAGCCATTTCCTATTTACGATGTACATATAACTGAACTTGAGGGCAGATTACACAGCAGGGGCTTCAGTGCAGATTACACAGCAGGGGCACCAGGGGTGTGTGGCTTGGCCTGGTGCAACGAAGCTCCAGTCACACACCAGGATATGGTCGGGGGACGCCTTGACCACGTACCTGCACTTTGCTTGTGACGCAGTACATGGACTTACGCTGTGTATTGGTTATTCTTCGTATTCCGTATTGCTGCTGTTAACGGGTATGGCCCGGGGCTAAGCCGAGAACCCCAACCAGTCGTTCTCCTGCAGCTATGGTATCACTTCAGAAACAGTCAGTGCTTGAGTTCATGTCGTCTGGTATGTGCTGGTTTCTGGATGGCCTGGGGCTAAGCCGAGAACCCCGTCTAGCGCGTACACTTTCAAGCATTGCTCAGTGCCAGTGTCCACCTCTTCAGTCCTTGCCGTGTCCTTCGGTGCGTTGGGGTTCAGGCTGGCGTTGTGGTTTAGTTAGGCAGGTTGAGGTGTGAGCCACAGACTTTCTGCACTTCATCTTTGCAGTTGCTGTCCATGAAGCTACCTGTCCGAAGTCTCTGATGTGTGGTCGCTTGAGACCTGGACATCAGGTGGTCCGTCGCATACCGAAACCTTCCTTAGCATTCAGTGTAGGGGCAGGTGTTCAATCGAAATCCTTGTAGGAGTTGCACATCTGTCGGGTGCATTCTCTGTTTGTGTGAAGCAAAAAAAAATGTATTTGGTCCCCCCCTTTTGGTCGAGGGGTGATGCCCTCAGCATCAGGCATCGTCCCACACGCCAAGGGGACACTGTTCGAGTATTTGCAGCCACAAGGGCATTAGCTGAATGTGCTTTTGCCCTGAGTCTCGCTGCCGGTGCTGTGCGTGTGTGCGTGTTTGGTCGACCACCCCTCCCCCCAATGCCCCGCCTCTCTGAGCCAGTGTCCCCAGCTTAGTACTTCGGTGAGAGATCATCGAGGGAAGAGCTTTGTTCCTGTGATGTGGGCTGTCTTGCCAAGTGTCCAATTCCAACCCAAGCCGCCCGGCTTGGGGGGGCGGGCCCATGGAGGTTCGGGTGGCACATCCCTCCCCTAATCCCCGGCTCGGATCGAGGGGCCCGGAGCGTTGAACTCTGCACCGGAGCCCTGATGACGTATGCGGAGGGGCAAAGAAGGCGAGAGGGACCGTTTCCGTAGGCCGGAGAGCACCCCAGGTCGACACTCACTCACTCACTCACTCACTCACTCACTCAATGTATTTGGTCTGGTCAACTTGAGGTCGAGATCCAGGTCCGACCTTGCCATGTCTTGACAATTTGAGGCCGAAGGTGCCGTTGTACGGATGTGTCTGGTGATGAGTTGATTTTTTTGCACTGCCGGGTACGAAGTAAAGTCCAAAACCATCCCGTGGAGAGCTACCTTGGGCAAACACCACATGTGCAAGTCAGTCCGTTTTCATTGTCGAAACATGGTCAGGCAAAGCCGAAGCTCAATGCGAAGACACTCTTCGTATTGGGAGCCATGAATCTCATCGATTCTCGTCAGCATGCCGGTCATTCTTGCGCTTTGTTGCGCAGAACCCCAGACTCGAAAGCCAAAGCCTCTTGACGGGGCAATAACGTCCTAACTGGTCTTCGGAGGATTGTATCAACGTGAACCTCCTCACTCCGTACGTCGACAAGATGGTCTCGACTTTTTTGGACAAGAGCCCGCAGAGTCCTGAAGTAGCTCACACAGCCGCTCGCCAGCAGCTCGCGTGGGACTTGTCTGAGGCCAAACTTTGGCAGGTTTATGGTTTACCAGAGTATTCCCGCATAAGTCTAGGTTGACGAAACGAACCGAGCGGAGTTGTCTTCAAGCTCTGTGCTTTCGGGGTCTGACGAAGCGCCTTCAAGAAGTGGAGGAGCTTTTGCTCCGAAGTAGCTCAAACCGAAGCCAGCAAAGGTCGGTTTGCTCATTGGCCTTTACTCGCTCTTGGAGGTGGGCACTTTGCAAGTGGGCTTGGGAACACCACCTCTTGTTGCAGGAAAGGATTGAGAGCTCATGGCAGAATTGCTGACTGTTTCGACTGGTCAGGTCATCTGTTCTCCATTCTGGGGAATGTTTGCCGATTTTGCGGGACGGAAGCGAGTGCCTCGGAGGGGGCGTGCCTCAGGGCCCGGGGGGTCCTCATTCCTATTGTTTGCTTGAAGCACGCAAAGGGCTATAACTTGCCAATAGGAGTCGAGAAACAAAGCAAAGAACAAGTTCCGATTGTAGGTGAATCGAGCATGAAATGTCAGAGTGGACGGTTGCAGCAAGTTGGACGCTGGAGCCATACTGGATTGGAGGGCCATCTGAGGCTACCAGTTCTCAGGTCGTCGGACGCATGAAATTATCCAACATGCCACCCAGCTTCTACTGAAGCAGCGGTGATGTCGAGAATCAGAGTTCTCCCCCTCCCTCACGTTGCGGTTGACATGACTGCTGAAACATTTGAATTTACACTGTCGCATTCTTTTCAGAATGGGAGTGGATGCAAATTGCAGCGCTCAAGTTGTCATACCGTATATAGTATATATCGGGTTTGAATGCGAAACCGATTCTTTGGCCCCTTTTCTCATGCTTCGGGGTGAGGGCTTTCTTTTCGAGCAGGGTTGGTCTTCGTTTTGGGCTTGGCAGTCTATGTTTTAGGGCTTTCGGGTTCTGGGTTTGGGTGCCTTGCTGGGTTCAGGTTTGTCGGTTACCCATATTCGGGTCACGAGTTGATACCCTCCATGCTTTTGTGTGGTTTCGGGTTTAGCATTTGCGGCTCCTGGGTTGGATCACTTCCGGGTAGTTTTAGGTTTCCATGTTGTCGTTTCTTGATTATGCAGTCCAGACCGTAATCGATCCCTCCACATGTCCTTCCCTTGACACTGGGATGGATAAGCTCTAGCAGACCTTCATGCCAGATTGCTATGCAGGTTTTCGAAAACGTCCTGCTTCAATATTACTCGCAAGCGCGTTCTTGCAGAGGTCAAGGCCTAGACGGCTTCCACCTACAGATTTGGCAGAGCAAAAACAAAGGGCGTCATGCTCCAATGGCCGAACTCGGACAGCTTACCAGAGGAAGGGAGCAACGAGGAGACCCCCTAGCTGTGCACATGCGCAACACCCTCAAGAGTGTGAGCCGGTGGAAGCATGGAAAGCCGAGTGGGGCGGGGGTGGGGTCGTGCAAGATGGCGGCACCAAAGGCTCCGCGAGCACCCTGTTGTGCGATATTGGTTGCAAGGAAGGTTCGAACTCGTTTACGTCTTACGGTTGTTCGAGCACCCCACAGGCTTAAGAAAGCACATACATCAGAAGCCTTCAGAAACGCCAAGCCACGATGAGGCCATGTCTCCTCATCGGCCTTGCCGGTTCGGCAATTGCCCCTATCCTTTTCGGTGCCCTGCCGTGCGCTTCAGAGCCAGGTTACCTTCAGTCGCAAACCTAGCAAATGTTTGCGCTGACAGCCAGTTTGCGCCATAGCCGTAGCCGCCAAGGCCGCAGGGTGTGCTGTTCTTGTGACCGAAACGAGTCCTTGTGCGACTTGTGTGTGCTTCTGTGCCACACTTGGCGTTCAAGATGTGAATTTCCAGAACTTCCGCGACCTCGGGCGTCTGAGGTTTGGGACAGTCCCTGCCAGTCATCTTCGCTGCCCGTGCGCTCGACGGCTTCTTCTGCGGAAACATGGGCGTGGCTTCGCTTGGTTGGTCAAAGAAAATCCAGTGAGACATCGTTGAGCAGCCTGCCGTCGCAAGTTGACTTGTTAAGAGTTTGATCGGCCTCAATTCGGGTTCATGAAGCTGATGACCGGACTACTTCAGCCGGACTTGCAGCATTTTCTTTTAAGCTGGTGTGTGGCAACAAGAGATTTCGCAGCGATGCACCACGTGGGGCTGAGGTCACACGAACGTATTTGGGCGAGATAGTCGATGAGACTAATGAGGCCCACGGGAGAGCCGGCTTTGTAAACACGCCGATGCTCGGTTCGGTTTCATGTGGTGCTCAAGGTTGTGAAGGGAGGGATTAGACCGGGCATCACCCGCCCGGTCTAAGTTCTAAGCCAGCGCTGGTCCTTCGCAGAGCTACGACCGAAGGCTGCCCGTGCGCCCCTTTGCAAATTTCCGTATGAGATTTGTGATTTATGAGGTGCCAACACCCCAGCCTCCCAAGCCCGACCGCGAAGGCGCGAGGCTTCAGCTTTCTGGCTCTTTGCTTCTCAGTGGGCCTTTTCTTGGGACCCATCTTGGGAGGAGAGCTGCTCGAACCAGAAATCTGGCTTCTGCTTTGCGGGAGCAGCTGCAGTTGAATCTTGTGTGAGATGATGTTACAATCCAGACTCGCGACTAGCACCAAGCAAGCTGAAGCAAGATGCCTAATTAAGGTTGGTGTATCCGGCACACTGGGCCCCCAGCATTTTCGGCGACACCGTCTTCGACTCCCATCCTTTCTTGCTGCCCAATCTGACGTATGCAGCATGGCTGAGCTGTATACTGGATGCTATAATGCACGAACAGGTTGCATCATCACTCGGAGATAGCTGCAGCAGTCATGGCACAAGATTCCCTTCGTGTCTGGAGTAGCGGCTTCTGGTGCATAAGTTTTTTTTGTCTGAGGCCATTTTCGCAGCAGTATCCTGGCCCCTTATCTGCAGCCAGTAGGATGGCTTGGAAGCTCAGCGGCGCAGCAACAAGTTGTGCGACGAAGCTTGAACAGAAAAGATCCTCACCTCGAGCCTCGGATTCCCTCAGACTGTCCACACGTCGGACGTTGCGACAGCAAGTCTGAGCAGGAACTGTTTTCCCCACTTAAAAGCTTAGCAGAACAGTACCTTTTCGACCTGATCAGGTGCATTGGGGCGACTTTTTTGGAGGAGTGGTCTTCGAAGCAATCCCTGATGGTTCCCTGTATTCCTGTTTCATGCCACGCTTCAGCAAGGGACGACAACCCTGAGATCAAAAGGTTATGCGGGAATTCACAAGACTGTTGGGCATTCATGGTGCCACCGACCAGTAGACTAGCAGTTTTTGCAGCGCTCTGCAGGTTCTCGGCGGTCAAGTAAGCAGACTGTGTGTGGAAGCATAGCAGCATATAGCAGCAGTGCGAAGCCCTCGAGGATGCCACTAGCCAGGAGAGTGTATAGTCAGTGCAAAATTCAGAAAAGGCAGACAAAGGGCCTTGTCGCGCAGGAGACATTACCCAAAAGCCAGCGCTGCGGCCGTCATCGAAGCACCGAAGCCTTTCCGCCAGGTTCTAAGACGGCGCAGCATTTTCTCAGCCTGTGCGTTGACATACCTGAGACGTGTTGAGTGTCTGCCGGGGCAGACACTTGGGCAGTCGATGGCAGATCATGGCAGGTCGCAAGAGGGAGGGCTCAGGACAACGAAAACACGATCAGGTGGCAGCAAGGCTATGCAAGAAGGGCATTGAGCACTGCTCGAACTTCAAGCCAGCAGTGACGAAGTTTAGCGGTGGAGTTCTCTATGAATATTGGATTCCGAGCATGGCCTCGTGGCAACTGGCCGAGGCTAATGAGGGAAAGAGTGTTTGTCCTTGCACAAAAGCCATGACACTAGAATGCTTTGTCGGATTCTTCCTTCCTCCCGTGCGGAGCTTTTGCGGAATCTGGACAGATATCCAATGCCTTCTTGAGCACTGACTGGCTCAAACTTTCAAGTTCCATGCTGTCTGCGTTACACCTGCGGCAGTGCTCGGAGGTTAGGGATTGACAGTGAGAGCTCCACTGGCCTTTGGGCTAAACCAGCCCGCCGCCGGGAGCTCCGCGATCTGTCTTCGCTAGGGGCGGATATCGATTTTTCCCGCGAAGGGTCGCGGCGGCTCGCAGGCTGAGGGAGGCTCAAAAAGAAGGTTTGGGTGGGGCAAAGGAAAGGAACCGGAGAGCTTCACGGCTTGACCTGCTCCAAGGCCTACCCCGTCAATGCGACGGACGCTCTCAGGCACAGATCCCTCAGGCTCTGATCCGCGTGGTCAAGCGGGCAGTCATTGCTTCGGAACCAGGTACTGGACACAACTTGGCCTAGAGTCTGTGGGATGCTGTACCAAAGCAATGTTGTCAGCTAGTGGGAATAGGTGCAGTAGCAGAAAGTGCAATCTGACGCAGTGTGACGGGCGATTGTGACTGAAACGCTGTCCCGTGATGTTGTGAAGGATTTCGAAATCTCTTGATTTTTGTGTGAAGTCGTGGAATGAATGTTGTTTGGGACATGATTGATCTCGACCAAAACCGTGTCGCTAGGGAAGGTGCTGCGGTGAATTAACAGCCCATGCCGGCCTTTTGCAGGTGCGCCTCGTTCATATGTTTGCGAGGATGCCAATGAACCTGCGAACCCAGGACACGAGTGTGAATTGGGACCACCTCTCATGGCAAGCCGCAGGCTGTGTAAGATTGCGACGTAGATGGGGCGCTGCGCAACAATTAGCACAGACACGAGAGTTCCATGTTGTTTCACCCGATTCTACGATGGCTTGGGGATTATCAACTCCTGAAGGCTCTTCAAGGCTAGGGCAGTCATAAGGCCACTTGTACTTGACCTTGGACATGTGAGGAAGTGCTGGCGGCAAGTGCTATCCAATGACAGTAATCCAGAGCCTTGGTTTAGATTAGCTCACATCCAGATGCACGGTCATGCATAGGAGATTGAACTGGAGCCGTTCGGTTCGCTTGCACCGGACATTGCTTGCTTCCGCATCTACACACTCCAAGACTGATTGCAAGGCATTGGTTCACCAGACCCCACAGTCCCGCAGACTGCCCCACCAAGCGCCAAGTGCCCAGGGTCATGATCGCGTACTGTGGCCTGTCGGGATGCGTAGCGGCGCAGAATCAGCTGATGATTCTGTTGGTGCCCGGCTCTCAGCATCTTCTGAGGTCGACGACACATGCTCTGAGTGTGCGGACCCAGATCCCAAAGCCACTCAGGTCATATGACCGCTCAGCTGATGGGTTTGCCTTCGGCCCACAGGAGATTGGGATCATGCAAAACATAGGCCTGCCGGGAAACTTGTTGACAGTTTGCGGGGCAATTCTGAGCCCACGATCGCCCCTTGTCAAAAAAGTCCGTTCCAATTCTTGCGAGGCGCCGTTGGACTGTTGATGTCTCAGCTGTTTCTCTACCCGACCCTGACAAAGAAGCTGGGCCTCTTGCCAACACGAAGACGCGTTCACCCATCCCTGTCGAGAGAGTGGAGAGAGGAGCGCAGCGAAAGAGATGAGTGAGCCTGGGCCTAAGCTCAAGCCCAGAGCTGTATTAGCTGAGGTGCCATCCCCGCGGCTGTAGCCCCTAGAACACACTGAGCCGCAGTTTGTGACTGAAAAAACAGACCCGCCGCAGAATGGCAAAGGCCGAGAGAGGCGATGCTTTCAAGCACAAGAAGCACACCTTGAATCAGTGCTTCTCAGGTTTCCTGAATACCTTCGTGATTGGGTGCGTGTTGTGCAATCTTTCCTATGGCCTGTTCCCAATTTATGGTGCCGCGGATGCAGTAGCCACATTTGCGCAGCTTCAGTTTGGACTCTGAGGGTCTGTCATGATGCCATCACAGTTCACTGGCTCACTCTTCTCATCCCGAGGTCTCTATGCAGATCCGGCAACTTACGGTGCCATGCCTTGAAGCTTTTCTCCCCCGGCAGCGACGAGAGTTGAGGCTGTCACTCTTGTTCCCGCTCCTGTAAAAAACGCATAGTCATGGGGCTGACGAACTTGTTTGCATCGCCCCTGGCTTCGAGATTGTTGCTTTCTGAGCGAAGCTTCCAGCAGTTTGTAGCACCAAGTCTGCATGTGCAGGAGTCTGAGATTCTAAACTGTCTACAGTTTTCCTTTCGACACTCGCATGGCCGCAGGCTCTTGGAGATTCTTGCCTTTGGGCCTCTGCCAGTTTTTCTACACAGCGGGGACAGGCATGATGTACCCCACTACCTTCGCATTCATCAACCGCTGCTCGGTCGCAGCGAATGGACTTCTCCCTTGCTCGTAGGCAGCCTGAAGTCGAAAGTGAAGACTCACGGGCGAGCGTCAAAGACATGCGACCATCGGCGTGGACCCGGCGTGCAATGGTGTCAAATCCGGGTATGTAGCCAGGACGAGTGAAGTTCTGGAGAGAAAGTGCGACGACTGTGATAACAGCTTTGGCTGGAACTGTGAACGAAGTTAAGGCACCAGTTGACCATGCACTGCCCAAACTGATGTTGAATGTTGAAACCTGGGATCGCATGGCATGAATGCATGCACGTCAACTTTCCAGGTTTGAAAACTAAGATCTCTCGGCCTGGGCACCGCAAACTTATCCTCAGGCGCATCGGAGGGCATGAGCCGAGGGGCCGTCAACGGCTGGGCAAATTCCACGGGCTCCCTGGCTGCTTGGATCCTCACGTTGCACAGTTCTTTGGACTGCCCAATTCCGAAAGGAACTTGGAGCCCTACGTCGCTAAGGCCAGTAGTCACCACATGTTCGAACGAACGAAGCACAGGTGCATTGTGTCGTGCAGTCTTTCCACCTGCAGCTGCTGCTGCTCGGCTTTCAATGCTTCAGGAGAGTCTGGAATGTATAGGTGTCGGTGACCACGTTCTAAATGCGGACTCGGGCAGATGCACATGACTCATATTATGCTTATGCTTCAGTCCTGTCTTGAATGCGGGATGCAATGCGGCGAGTTGGACCTCTCATCTGATGGCAACTGCCGCCGAGGCGCTCCTGGGTCAATGTAACCGTTGCTTGTCTCGGCTTGAGTGCAGCTGCGGCTGCGAGATGTCTAAGTGGAGAACTTGCGCACTGTCGTGTTTGGGCGGCGGGACTTGAGGACTGGGGCCGTTTGGCCGCTACATCCCTTTTTATGTTATCACTTTCATTCTGGTCCTGACCCTGGCCCTGGCCTGAGTTACGTCGCAGCATCGCGAATCGCAGCAGCACCAAAAGAGGTCCTCCGGTCCTCCTTCCGCTTCTGAGCTTAGGCAGTCTCCTGGACCGGGTTGCGCAAGATCGATCAGAAGAGTGTGCGCACCGTCACTTCTCAGACCGCTCAGAGCAGCTGCGCGGATGAGGAGGACTGTAGAAGATCGCGGCGCGAGCCGCTCATGGAGAGTTGAAGCTTCAAGACAAAGGCTCGGGGTCCAAGAATGGTTCTGGCAGTAATCCTAAGAGTGTTAGAGGGGTGGTCCGGGGTGGTGCTCTGGTTCATTACCGATCCTCAGCAGTCCAGCCTGGATTGAAGCTTTGCTCCAGGCTGGCGTTTCAGGGTCGGCTAGACCCGCGGTTCAATTCAGCGTGACTCCCTCCGATTTTCGCCCAGGTTTTCTGGGTTGACACAGATTTCTTGTTTGCTTGCATACCCCTTTCACCTCCCGTCTGCTTGGGATTCGGAGGCTGAGCTGCTAGCAGCTTGCTCCGTTCAAGGGATGTACAGACAGTTGCAATGTGCGGAAAATGCATCACGATGAAAGGGCCACATCCGACAGTCCAATGAAAGTCGGTTAACATGGTTAGGACCGTGGTCGGCTGATAAGGGAACAGGTGTCACCGGGTCATTCGCTGCTGCCGCACCTGCCCTTCCCCAATTTCGGTGCAGCAGTAGCGTGTGCTGTGGTGCCTCTCTTGGCGTGCTCATGATCGATCAAGTCCTGTGGCTCGAGAAGTGCACGGGAGCTGCGTTCTTGGAGCTCCAGACCCAGGCATCGCTTCAGCATTTTGCTACAAAGTGCTCAGTCACATGAAGAGCACAAAGAGCCATGGACTGGAGATGTTTTGCTGTCCTGCCGCTCGCTGAGACTCTTGTGACCGCTTGCTTGATGTAGGTCTGAATCAGATTTCAGGCGAGCCGCAACCTCCACTAGAGACAATCTGCATAGAAGCTCATGTGTGAGAGAGCAGTTGGTCCAAGGGTCAGCTTCGGCTTCGCAGCAGAAGCTTCGCACTTACTTGGATGCTGCACTGATGTTTTCTCCGAAGCCGTGCTCAGCATTGCACCTTCAAGCTCACCCTAATCTAAGTAAGGTGCCTTGCGCGGGCCTTCCCTTCCGTTGCGAGCCTGGCGGTGAGCCCCGGACTCGGAAGCAATGCATGGGTTGGAGGTGGTTGGCGGGAGTGTTTCGGGTTTAGGGTTTTCTTGTTCGGTTTTGGAGGGGCTGCAGTCCGGGCTTTCCTGTGGCCCTGTTCTGCCTGCAGCGAGTTTGGGCCTTCTTGGCCTCGATCCGGCTTGGGTCCTTGTCATCCCTTTCTAGGCACTCATCTTCTGCCTTGGTACGGTACCTGGTAAATGAGACCCCTAGCTAGATACTGACCGAGCCTGTTTGTTGCTGTGTGTGACTCCATCTTGTGTTTGGCTGCATTTAGTACTACATGCGAGATGCCACAATACGTGATGCTGCCCGTAAGCCAAGCACCATGCAGTAAATCGCGATACAACACCGTATCATTTGATATGCATTCCAGCTAGGGCATGCATGTGCACCTGTATGGTCACGTGCTCTGCCCCCCCCGCCCCCTCCGGCCCTGCATTGTCTATGGTCGAGGATTTCCCCCCCCCTCCCTGTGGGGTGTGGCCCTATTCTCCCTGTGGGGTGGTTGCGGGGTTTTGGGATTTTGGGTTTAGCTTAAGCTTTTGACTTTTGGGTTTAGGGTTAAAAGGCATAAGGCTTCGAGTCGACAAGGGCTTAGGGAGGGTTTTCGGTGTAGGTTCGTTAAGGTTGACGGTTTATGTCTTCTTTTAGGCGTAGAGCCTGGACTTGGGCGAGGTTTAGAATTGGGTGTAGGGTTGATAGTACGGGTTCAGGTTAATCAAAACAGGAGCAACACGCTCCTGCGCTATGTCATACTTGGAGGGTCGGGGGACTTAGTAACTGGTTATTTTAGGGACTTATAAGTACCATAACCCCAATTAGGCTCCCTTTTAGGGTACTTATAAGTCTACTTACTACCTACTTACTAAGTTCCCCGACCCTCCAAGTAGGGTTTTTGGCTTGCGTACGATGCTGGCCGTGTCGGTGACCCCTGACAGCCCCTCCAGCTGCAGCTCCACGGCCCCGACCCCGCTCCGCAAACGCCAGCCCCCTCCTCCCCGGCCCTCTACCAGACCAGGGGGGGTCAAAACGAAACATCTGCGCGTGCTTACTTACCTGCCTGCATGGCTGCTTGCCTGACCCTCTACCTACCATGATTGAGGCACAGGTAGGCAGGAATCGGCAGGAAGGTAGATCGTAGGACGGCAGGAGGGTCGGAAAGTGGGAGGAATGGAATAAGGTGGGAAGGAAGGAGGGGCAGGGACGTTGGGTCGTTGCAAGCATGCATGTCAGCCACTACAAACGCAACGAAGTGCAGTGTTTGTCTTGCGCGGTGCTTGTTGCCTGCTTGTTTTGAGCTTCCTCTCAATCTGTCCGACGCGGGCAGGCCTGTGCCGTGCAGGCTGGAGAGAGGGAAAAGAGCTGAGAGATCAGGTGTGCAAGAGTATGTCTATGGTGACGGGAGTAGGCCCGCATAAACCGAGAGTGCAAGGCTTCAGGCCTCGTTGGTTGTAGCCTTCGATTCCTGTCTCTCTGCGCGCTTGACCAGGCCAGTTTCGGCTTTCAACTGGCCAGCAATCCTGGACCTCCTCCGGAGCGACGAGGCTGTTGTTATGAGATTTTTGGCGACCAGTCTGGCTCTGGGTGGCTTTCGTGAGAGGCGGCGGCGCTGCTCGGTGCGTCCCCTGCACTGCATGGTGAGGTGACTGCGGCGGTGAAGAGCGGAGAAGGTGGGGGACGTGGACAGTGAGACCCAAACTGAGAGTTGACGGACGTGTTCCCTGTTGAGGCGTGGTCTGTGCATGCTGGTGTCTTCAGCCGAAATCAGGTTTGGGGCAGATTGGGGCAAGGGAGGGTTCCGGGACTTACAGAAGGGCACGCCCCAGTCCACTATGTAACCCGCCGGCACACCAGCCCGCCAAATATCAACGCAATTTTTTTTTAAAAAAACTATTTTCCAAAATTTTAACCCAAAATTTCCGTAAAAATATTTTCCAAAAATCACCGTTATACCGTTAAGCATAAATCCCCGTTACTTCTCCGTCCAAAATCCCAGTAAAATATTTTCACAAATTTTTATCCTAAAACTTTTGTAAAAATATTTTTCCAAAATCCACGTAAAACCATATCCCAAAAATCCCAAGCCTAAACCCAAGAAAAAACACCTTCCCCCACAAATTCCCGTTATTCCTCAACCCGTAAACCCAAGCCGTAAACCCAAGAATAACAATAAGCCTTATAGTTGGGGCAAGGTGCCTCTAATGAAATTTAATATTATATAATAATAATATTAAACTACATTTTTTGAACTATAATATCTGAACGACTTTCACCACAGGCAAGTCTATGAGTAAACCAGTTAAAATGTTCTTCCCATTTTTCAGGCGTTACCATCAATTTGCAGATTTCGCATGTCTTGTGTCCTCTTGCTAATCGTGTTTCCAATTGCTTTTTAAGCATGTCATCAACGAGTTTCTGTTTTTCTTTTTTTGCTTGTTTCTCATCCATTCCTTCTTCTGCAATCCGCTTATTCAATAGGTGATTTTTAGTTTCTACGTGTCGTTTCCAATTATTCTTTAATACATCCATTTTGCAAAATTCACAATATATTGTAACAGTTCTCCATTCTTTTACTTTCTCGGGGTTCTTTTCTTTGTATTGTTTAGCTTTTGTATTCACGACGTCTTTATTCTTTTCATAATAATTTCTCGAATAGTTAGAACATGTTAAACACTGTGATTTGTAAAATTCTGTAATCTCCTTTTCTCTGTTACACTTTGAACATACCTTTTTCTCAATCTCACTCATCCCTACTACTAAAGAGGAACTTACCTTTAATACCCTTTCCTATAAGCCGTAAACCAAGAATAACAATATGCCTTATACTGGGGCAAGGTGTGTTGTGCATACATCGCTACTGATTTGGTGGTGAATGCCTAATAGAATGATGAAAAGCCATCTGTGCAATGCGAGACACTTTAGTTTTGGATGCACAAACCCACATAATGCATGCAGAAATCCGCATTGATTATGCCCAAACCCGCATATTTATGCCCAAAACCGCATAACGCATGCAGAAATCCGCATTGATTATGCCCAGAACAGCACCACACAACACACCGACACACGACACGCCGACACACGACCGACACACACCGCTGTGACCACACGCCACTATGATACACAGAAAGCTACACTTTCAGCAATTCGTGACGCAAATATCCGCGCCCATTGATATAATAATGTTTTTGCCCTAAAACAGTTTTTATATCATCAATACTATAAGAATTTTCACTCCACGAGCTCTTTCTCTCTTTATCCAATTTATCTTTTTTCTTAAATATTTTGACTTTATCGCCTTTTTCTAATTCGGGATACTTTCGAGTTTTTGTTGCATTCATTGCGATATTAGACTTAACTTTGAGTTCGTTTTCGGGCTTTCGTGCTTCTTTGGGCACTATTCCAGTTGCTGAATGAACCATTTTATTATTATATGTAAGCATAATTTCAAATATGTAATCCGTCCATTGAATATTCTCTTTACCTTTCTTTTCGCCGGCTTCAACTCTTTTAAACAACATATCTTTGAACGTGCGTATGAATCTCTCGCTAAAAGAACTGTGACCCCTTGTTTGATACGTTTCTATTTTCTCTTTATCAAAATATTCTTTTACTACGCTACTGTTTAAACTACCTTCCTCGTCTGAATATATTAGCTCGGGGGCTTTACCCAACTTGTTTATTCCTTCCATGATTCCCGCTAATAAATCGGGTGGTTGCTTACTTTTGATAGGAACAACTACAGCGTATTTAGAAAAGACATCTATCATAGCTAACCCAATCCTAAACTTTGGTTTTTCAAATCGTTGTTTGTAATAAAGAATAAGTCGATTTGGTATTCGTAGTGTGCATGGGGAGCAATAAACGAATTAAATCCTGACATAGGTTTTTTTCTTTCTATGTTCTTTTCAAACCATGCCTTAACGTCAGCCATTGTAATACTCTTATCCTTCGCTTTTGCATCTTTAAAAGTTGTGGCTTGTGACCCAAATCCGCTTCTATCAAAATAGATATCGGATATTATCTTATCTTTATTAGAATTACTCATAATAATAAAGATGAGATTTAAATATTAATATTGTTCTGTTTGTTACCTTGCACAACAATTACACATAATGCACATACTGTTGCAATTGTTTATATAATGTGCTTTCTCATTGTCAAGCCTATTAGCTGTTAAATTGGTAGTGAGCTTGTGGTCAATCCTTTCAACTACAAAGGGTTCGTTACAGTCGGTGCATCTGTTTTTTAATTGACCCATGAGCCATTCAACATTTACATAGTCCTCTTCGTTTATTGAACGCCCCGCTTCTATATCTTGTGATTTGTATTGTTTAACCTTTTGGTTAAAATATCGTTCGACTTCATGTTCTTTAATGTCTCGTGCTATTTCATACTTATAGAATTTAACTCTGTTTAAATCCTTACTTCTCGTGAGGGATGTATACAACCACTCTTTCGAAACATAATTATACATCCAATCGTAAATTACTATATCGCCATCAATTGAGCAACCTTGCTTACTATGGCATGTGTAACACGAAGCATAAATAAAGTTCTTTCTCATCAAAGCTAAACTAATATCTTGTTCTGTGTTTGTTTTTGTGTTTTTGAGTGTCAGAATGTTATTATTAATATTGGTTATCTCATACTTAAAATTAACATTAAATTTCATGTTCTTGAATCTTGTATAAACACGACAAATAACCAAATCGCCAATTACATACTCCTCTTCTATGTTTTTCATCTTCCGAATATGTTGTGATACTTTCCTACATGTTTCGTTGGTGTATGCTATGTTATTATCAATGAGTTCTATCTCTTCTGTGTATTCAAAATATTTCTCAATAATCTGTTTATTTGTCATGTCTGTTTTAAAAATGTCATGATGAATATTTGCTAATTTTATCCTGTCCTCTTCATCGGTTAACCTCTTGCATATTTCTAAATAAATATACTTCGTAAACATTTGCTTTATACAACTGTCTAAATATGTGTGGTAATCTTGTGTGTTAGTTATATCAACAACGCCTTGTAATTGGTGTTCGTCGCCCGTGGCTACGATAATTTTGTCTGGGTTCTTTTCTAAAAATGTTTTTACCCTTGCTAAAACTGGAACATTATTAAAATAGATTTCGTCAAAAACTATAACATCATACATAGAATAGTCAAAATCTTTCATTTTTTCTTCGCCAACTTGGATAGAAAAGAACGTATTAACTGTTACTGCTTCTACTCCGCATTCTTGATTTAAATTATTCGTAGGTGTTACAAACAGTATTTTTTTATCTTGTATCCGCTTGGGTATATGCGATTTTCCACTCCCAGCATATAGGGATTTAATTAATACGTGCTTGTGTTCGAGAACTTTCTCAACCGCTTCTTTGCTATCCCATTCGTCTTTTAACATAATTCTTTCATTAACAACTTCGGGTATTTCTATTGATTGGTTCTGTTTCATCTCATAATCTCGATGAGGGAAGCCGAATTTATTTAAAACGCCTTTCCAATCGCCGATGTCCTTACCGAACGTCAGTAACTTCATGGCTTTTTGTAAATCCTTCCTTAATATTGTAAATGCATCTGTTTTAACACTAAAGACGTCTATCTCATTTTCTCGCAGTGTGTTATAATCCTTGTATATTCTGTAATTATGGTATTGGAGTAAAAGCTCCTTAATGTAACGATAGCCATTTTTCAAAACGGCGCGGTCTTCAACATTTAGAACGTAATATCGTCCTTTGTTTTTTGTATCTTCGTCTGATGCTTCTTCTTCATTATCACTATCATAATCGCTATCATCCTCGCTATTAACTTCTTCTTCTTCTTTCTCGAACTGCTTAATAATATTAATCCTACCTCCATACATGTATTGATATAACTGAGCTTCTCGCAAGTCCTTGAATAAAACCGATTTCTGAGCCGTTGTTACTCCCTTCTCTAATAAGCCGATATTCACATTTGCTATTTCTTTTTTTAGTTTGGTGTCTTCTTGGGTATCATCTGAGATACGAGTTTCTACTAATTCCTTAACAATCTTTTTATAATCACAATTATATATAAAGGAAGGCTTCTTATAATATTTAATGGTGATATCATCATTCAGAACATTTTTTAGAAACTTTCCGTAACAAAGGCAGAACCGCTTGTTGAAGAACAGATTAGCCTTACACACTTCCACAGTGTATAAGACTAAATCCTCAATTTCCTCGCCATTGTATTTTATCCATTTGTCAAATTGGTTAAATACTGGTATTTTTTTCATTTTGGTAAGCGCGTGTGTAAATGCTTTTGTCATATCTATCTCGCATGCATTCTTATGAGAAGGCTCTATAAAATGGTGATATTCTTGATTTTCAACTTTGCCCGTCATTTGGTTAAACTTTTCGCGATATTCAATGTGTCGGTATTTGTCTTGAATCTTACCACTTGGCACAATGGTTCGGTATTCGTCTAATACATCAATGTCGGTATCTGTATAAAAGGATTTATGTAAAGGATTAAACAAAGCCTTATTAAACTTAAACATCGCCTTGTTCATATTGTTGAATGTTGTCTCGCATTTGACTCTAACACTTCCGTGTATACAAGAAGGCACTAAATTCTGTGTAGCTATTATATAAGTGTTCTTCATAAGTCTTAATTTGATTTGGCTTATCGTTCCCGCATC